GGTAGGTTAGGTGCATGAAGTTACTACAGTATTACTTATCTATTTTCATTGAGGGAACTACACTATATAAATACAGTAGGTTATGGTAAATGCATGGATTAATATTTTGAAAATTATTTTAAAAAGCGACTGTTTGTTTAAATTTATAAAATTATTCTTATAAATTTTTATTTTTGTATTTGCTACACATTATTAACATGGACAATTTGAATAGTAAGTAAAATATTTAAAAAATAATAATGTAAATAAAAAATATTTTTAAAATAGTAATGAAATTAAAATTAGGTTTAATTATAAAAACTAATACCAAATTTAAAATCATTATCACATAATAGAGAGAAAATAAAACTTTCTATTTTAATATACAGTTTACAAAAATTAATTATTAACAGTAGTTTTTAAAAAATTCAAACTCTAAAATTATTATTTAAAAAACTTTTTATAATTAATCAATCAAATATATATTTTATTGGATTTGTTATCGAAAATCATTTTAATTTGTTATTCTCTCTCTCTCTCTCTCTCTCCATTAATCACACTCATTAAACCTCTTTTTGTGACCTAATCATCCAGGTCAACCCAAAACTGACGAGGCGGGTGATTACGGCGAAGCCGTAACTTACGAGGACTTACACCTACTAGTGGTCGACCGGTTAACCCCTGTACGTGACCTAATGATCACTGCCAGTGCCCAATATAAAACCCAGGGCCTAACAGTCCCTATCATACTTTACGAGGATGTTATCCGGTTTGCTACCGAAAAGTTACCATGGTGCGGTCAACAGCTTAAGGCTATTGACAATAATGACATACGCCATGCCCTGGTGTCCCTGTTCATCGGCGAGATTAACGGTTTTAATTATATGGCTAACCGATTGGCTCGGATTAGAGCCGGTAGGGAACTGGTGGTTACGGGCAGTGAAGGGGAACTGATGGTCAGGTTAAGGGCGTTGGAGGGGAAGATATTTTTGCTGTTGGATCACGTGATTAGTCACGCGAGACACCCGTTTTGGCATGATTTTCATACCCAGGTAATAATTAATAATATAATAAAATCTTTATTACTTTAATTAATTATTCAAATAATTATTTTGAGTCATCAGCAAGTAACATAATCAACATAACTTTGTTATTTTTATCAAATTTAAAAATATTCATTTTATATTTATTAATTTATTATCAAGATTAAAACGTTCCTGGCTGATGAATTTCCAAAACTGTACAAGGCAATCTCGGACGTGGCTACATGCGAACTTAGAGAGAAAAATATCCAGCTATTAATTATTGATTTGACACATGTTACTTTGCCACCCCTGTAGCCAATAATAATAAAACTATTTTTAATAATAGAATTAGTTTTAAATTTGTAATATTTTATTAATGATTTACAGTTAAGTTGAATGTAAAAGAAATAATTTTATTTTAAGATTTTAATGAATTAAACTTATATTTATAAATTATCTATAAGGGTTTTTGTATTAGGTAAATTATTGTACTTTGTTTTCAATCAAAAAAATTTTACAATAAATAAAAATCTTTTTTCAACAAATTGTCAAAGGTACTTTGATTGATTATATAAATATCATAAAAAGTCCAATTACTAAAGCACTTTGGCTCACAAAATTGTTTTTGTTGAGTTACTTTATTATGATGTAACCAAGGCCAAAAAATAGCTAAAATTTCATTTCAAAAAACACTATTTTAAGTGACCTTGAATTTAATATAAATAATTTTTGAAACTTATCTATGAGATTGCAAATACTATATTTTATTATGTTATTAAATAGAAATTTTAAAATAACTATTTCATAAATGTTTTTTTGTTATATAAAATTAAACAAGTTACATTAGACTTCATTATAACAAATAAATTATGTAGTGTTGATATAGCCATTAAAATACTGTTTATAAAATTAATAGCTATTTTACTAAATTTTATATTTTATTTACAGTTTTAAAACCACTTTTAAACATTTTTCTAACTAAACTAACAAGTAAATTTTATAAATAAATTTAAAAATATAAGTATCAAGGTTGCCATAAATTATGTTTTGCCTCATATTAAACTGTACTGAATATAAAATAAAACTACATTTACTATATAATGGAAAAGGAACTAAAAATTGGCTGCCAGTGCAGGTTGGTCTGTAGACCGCACTTATACTAAACGTAATTAAACTAAAATAACATACCAGTGCACAGTATACCATACATAACTATAAATACAAACTAGTAGCGCATGTACGTTTAGGTGCAGCTGTGGTAATTTTGAATGCCTATTGCATTGTATGGATAAACAGTATAAATAACATTAAATCCAGACATAGTTGGGAGTTGTACTCAGACTGTAAACAAAAATATTTTTCTGTACGAAATATATATTTACAGTTTATTTTTAAAATATTTATTAAATAATTGTGCATATTAATCAGATACATGGACTTTTTGAATAAGGTAATTATTGAATTAGCTGGATTTTATAATAAGCATATTCTGATTTTTTTATTTATTTAAAAATGATTAAATTATAATGTAATGTTATAATGTAGAAATTAACTTTTAATAGGTTGTATCCAGATTGTTTGGCGCCACAATGGCATTAATGTCACCATCAGGCAAAGCAATGGTGATGGGCTATTTGATTAACAGTAAGTAATATAACTTTTAAAATTATAAGTTTTAATTTTTAATTTTTATAAAGTTAATTAAAATAAATTTTACTAAAATACGAACTATATTCACTATATTAATATTTTAATTAATTTAAATAATTAAATAACTAATTTTAGTATACTGTATAAACAAAAAATTATCCATACTTATAATTAAATATAATATAAATTAAAGTTCTAAATAAACTGTAATTTATCACTAAATATAACTATTAGTAATTAATACAGTTACTAAATTACAACCTGGTCAATGCAACATTCAACAATTTTTATTCTCTCTCTCTCTCCCCTCCCTCTCTCTAATTTAAAAATAATTAATTAATTTTGCACCTACCTAACCACCCAGAGCTACCCAAATCGGACATCGCCGCTGACTACGGGGAGGCCGTCACCTACGACGACATGAGCGCCTACGTCGTGGACCTCTTAACCCCCGTTCGTGACCTAATGCGGGAGGCGGAGGTTAATTACAAACACCAGGGCCTAACCGTCCCCATCATATTCTACGAGGACATCATCCGGTTCGCCACCGAAAAACTACCATGGTGCGGTGAACAATTAGTGGCCATCCAGCCCAATGACCTACGACACATACAAGTGTCCTTGTTCATATCCGAGATCAATGGCACCAATTTTATGGCTCGACGTGTGTCCCGGTTGAGGGTCGGGAAGGAACTGGTGATCACCGGTAGTGAACAGGAACTCATGGGTAGGTTACAGGCGTTGGACTCGAAAATTAGTTATATGTTGACTCACGTGATCAATAACGCCCGGCACCCCTTTTGGACTGACTTCCACACTCACGTAAGCTATAAAATAATTTGATACTTTTTAATTGTACTTGTTAATGTGTAAAATTTTGCAATCTAATAGTTAGATATTATTTTTAGATTTTTATTAGAATACAAACTGTATTTGTTTTAACTTCTAAATAACATTTTTAAAAATACAATTAACATACTTAAATGTGATGATCTATGGTGATATTTAATTAATCAATTTTGATAAGTAAATATTTATAATTTAATTTGTTTATATTATCTAGATAAGAGCTTTTCTAAGTGCCGAGTTCCCCAAACTGTACAAGGAGATTAATGCGTTGCCTACCACTGAACTGAGACAGAAAAACATACAGTTGCTAATCATGGACTTGACACACTGCTTATTGCCACCCCTGTAGTTGTGGTGGACATACATTATTTACTCTACTTTCATAAAATATATTTTACTATTTTACTCGTATTTCTTTAATATATTTAAATGTAGTTATTTTATACTACTTATCAAATAATTGTAATTGTTGTAGTAAACAAGTTTTTTTAAGTAACCTTGAACGTCTCACATAAATCCAATAATGACATTTATGTATTACAGTATTACACTAATGTCAATGTTAACTTATGCCTAATATTTTTTATATAAATAGTATGTTTGATGAGATAATTATTATACATTATTATTCATTATTCATTAATTATTTCTTTTGTTTATATTTCAATGTCAGAATAATAATTTTAAAATTATATTATATTAAATGATAATGTTTCCAAGGGTATTGAATAGATTATATAAGATATTTTAGATTAAATCTTTACATGATGATGTCTTAACCTATTTACTAAAATTTGTATCACATAAATATTATCATTTACAAATAACTATTTATAAAGCTGTATTTTATTCAAATTTAAAAACTGCATTAAAAATATTATTATTAAAGCATTGGCAAATAAAACAATTATATTGGCAAAATGGTATAACTGGCTAGTATTTAATTAAAGTATACTGGTACTTTATGATGTTTTATAATTATATATTAAATATGTGCATGTTCGTTTTATCAGAAAAGTATAAAATTACCTTATCATTATTTATAAGAAAACATTTATTGCACATTTAGTGCATTGCTGACTATGTTGATAATTATGAATTATTAAAGATTATAACCTAGTCACAATTATTGATAAAGATTATTTTTCTGTATAAATATTTTGAACATAGACATGCTTTTTATTATTATATTGATATCTTAAATATTTTATTAAAAAATCAAAATCACAATGAGAACTTTAATAGTGTTTATTACATTGTTAATGTCCATCCATTTTGGTGTGTATAATTGTATTTCTAAAAAATTATTAAAATGGTATACCATGTTACATTTTTCACCCATCATATAGTTTATTGTGACTACATATCAGACACCGATGACTATGAGACACAGTTTTACGACGACCTGACTATCCCTGAACTGAAAGCCTATATAAACAGCAATATCTCGGCTACCGGTGCTC